GCGCTTGTTCCTAGTAGCTTCTTGTTACTACTAGTAAGGCACTTGTTTCTAGAAGCGATGCGCTTGTTCCTAGTAGCTTCTTGTTACTACTATAGTAAGGCACTTGTTTCTAGAAGCGATGCACTTGTTCCTAGTAGCTTCTTGTTACTATATACTAGTAAGGCACTTGTTACTAGAAGCGATACGCTTGTTCCTAGTAGCTTCTTGTTACTACTAGTAGGGCACTTGTTTCTAGAAGCGATGCACTTGTTCCTAGTAGCTTCTTGTTACTACTAGTAAGGCACTTGTTACTAGAAGCGATGCACTTGTTCCTAGTAGCTTCTTGTCCCCGGTGTCAAGAAAACACCCTCCAGCTAAACTGAATCCATCGCCTCTATTGATTTCCACGACCTTTTCTTCAGGTGCGAAACGTGATAAAAATACCGATGTGACGGGTAATACCGGGGTGATGCATTTCTCAGGGGTTTCCATGGATGTGAATGCATGATAATATCATACAAGTATAATATATATATATATATGCCATCGCCCATGACGGAGTGTTTGGGGGTCATGTGATTCAAGCCTTGGGCCGCCCCGTGAAGAGAGAGGACGCGCAGGCTTGCAGGCTCTTCGCCTGGAAACAGCCTTGACTTTGGGTGGCTGCCTGCATTCACAAGCACATTCACAGCGCTTACAAATCTGCCTTTGGCGGAACACATCTTCCTTGTGCAAGCCCTGAGAATTGCAGCTTCACCTCGTCTGTCACTATTCCATGCCGCAGCGACAAACCCCAACATCTCTCCCTGCCGCCCAGTTCACGGAAGTTGCTGCTGCGGCGACGATGTGCCCCACAGGTATCACCGGACGCCTGATATGTCCAGTCGGGATTATCGTCACCTCAGCGACACCAAAACGGGGCAAACTGGTTGACCCGTTCATTCAGTTTGTTCTCAGAACGAGGTCCAACGAGGTCCCGTTCATTAGAGTTTCTGGTCGGTTTGCCAATGGCACGTCTTGTCTCGTGCGCAAAAGTGTCTCGACGAGCTGCACGTCTGGTAGCTGTACTTGAAATCAATCCCAAACCACGACTGCTTTGCAATGGGGCAGCTGTTGTTGACATAGCACCACGAGTCACAGCACCATTCCTGCAAACCGTGGGCATCAAAAAATGTACACCAGCAACCCTGAAAAAGAACTGCTCTGTCCCTTGTTCGCATGGTGCAGGCTTTGAAAATGGTGAAACAAATGTCTGATGTGGCAAAGTTATGGTTCAGCGATCAATAAAGTGGTCCTGGTTTCTATGTTTCGTCAGCCCCGCAAAGTCACCAAAATAATGCGCACAAAGAAAGCACTCTAGTCAAGGGGTTGTCTCACCTTCCTTCACCGTGATGTTGGGAGGCCAGACTAACTATGTATATATCTTATGTAACATATATCTTAAGTGTACTGCATTGTCCACAGGCTTTTAGACATGTTTCATGTGTCAAGATACCTTGTCATCGGTGGTGTTCCAACCAGCATTGGGATTTTGAATCCACATTTCTTTGCAATTCTTGTTGTCCCAGGCATCACATTGGCTGCCGTAGTTGGCGGGGATCGTTGCACCGCTGTCGATATTGTTGAAGCTGCCGCTGGGCAAAACTCCGCGGCAGTCACATGCATTGTCATATTTACACTTCGACACCACATCCGGATTCATTTCACACTGGTCGTAGGAGAAGTAGTGCCCCGGCCAAATAGTGGAACCGCGGCCTGTGACACAACTCTCAGGTACGTAGCACCAGGATAAGCAGCACCACATTGCCATATCAGCCCCCGGATATAGAATGTGACACTCCTGGTAATCATGGGGTCCGCAGAACGCACCATATTGTGCGTAGGTTGTCGTGTTGAGACCCATTGCTGTCAAGTTCAGGTACTCTTCTGGTACCGTTTGACCCAAGCATGTACAATTCGATTCGGTGGTATTCGACACATTCTTCTGCGGGAAATAGGGGCACTGCAACATGAGAGCTGAATCATCTGGGCACACATTGCCTGACCAGTACAAGGTGCCATTCATGCCATCATTCAAAGAGTCTTTGGCAGTTGGGCACTCTTTGTCAACATAGCACCAATTGGAGCAGCACCAGGTGTCCACCTGGTCTGGTCGATAATTGGTGGCACAATTAGGCATATCCCAAGCTCCACACATCTCGCCATAGTTGCTGCTGAATTTGTTTCTCATGGCAGCGTTGAAGAGAGAACCCACATTCCTGCACGCGCATGGATCATTCGCCTTCTTCACTCCTACCCACTTACACGTCGATTCTAATGGTGCTGGTGTTGAGCTGGCGACTGCGTTGCACGCAGCATAACCTCGGCAGAACCGCGGATCTGCGGTTCTCGAAAGGACACGAGAATATGTGAAGAAACAAGGACATGTTTTGAGATACGAGTGATGCATGACAGCAGCTGTCCTTTGAACATGATCAAACCAAACACCGGGCAAATCTTGAAGTGTTTGCATGTGTGTATGTGTACACTCCCCCTTCCAGCAGGAAAAGTACTTGCGTTTGTATGTGCTTCACCACAGTTTCACACTTTGAGTTTCATTCCATATTGCTCCAACCAGTCTGCATTGACCCCGCAATGGCAACAAACGGCCTACGACCAGTCTGCATTGACCCCTCCAGTCCGCACGCTCGCACGCACTACCTTGTGCGCTACACCACGCAGGCCTTTTTCTCGATCGAAGGTCGACGGATGAGAACACACTTTTTGATGGGCAGCTTGAGGTCTTAGCATGGAAGAGTTTCAACAAAACCAACAGCAACATCTTCAAGAAAAGTAGAAACAGGAGAAAAACGGCCGCATGTCGGATCCGATCTGGGCAGCTGATGCGGCAGCATGGCAGTGTCATCCACCCCTGTGGCCCGAGGAGTTGGAACGCTTGGAACGAAACACGGACCTGGACCATACCTGATCCTGATCGTTCATACCTGGACCTGGACCCCGCAACCAAGCTGTGTCCGCTGGTGTGGTCCCCAGCTGAAAACGGCTGTCGTGTCGGTGAAAAGGAGACGAACGAGAACGAGGAGGCACTGAAGGGCATCCGAGGGAATGACATGTTGAACTCTAAGATTGCATCTCTTTTCAACCTGAAAGGTGCAGGCAATTTCCACCAACGATTCCAGCAACAGTCCACCAACGAAACAGCCACCACATCTTACCACTCGGGACTCATCTTTGAAAGAATTGGCAGACAAGTCTCACTTTGTGTCAAGAAAGTCTCCCTAGAAAAGGATTTTTAATGCACAACTTCTCAATCGTCCATGGCAATAGCCGGTTCACATGGTGATAAAGACAACGCTATACCACGTTCCACCCTCTTGGTTTCGTTCCGCCCTCTTGCCACGTGTTTTGAAATACAGTAAACTTCAACTTCGCTGAGGCACTAAAAAACTGCCCCGGAATCGCTTGACTTGAATATGCATCTGGACATTCTTTCGATGCATAGCACCAAGGTCGGCAGCACCAAGCGCCCACGGTCAAGTTGCCCCAAAGGTCTCCACACTTGGGCCTCCATGAGTCGACGGAGTCGAAGGCGAAGCGGACCCATAGGACCGAACGCGGTGTCTTTCGCTCTGTTTTCACGGCCGATGTCGGTTGGTGCACGAATACGGCGGCTTCTTATATTACATTCGTGATAGAAGGAAAACACATGGGTGCAGGAATCGGATGTACCATAAGGACCTTCAATAAGGATCCGGGTGACCAAACATCGGGTGATTGAACCCAAACATCGGGTGATGACTTCCGGGTCTTCGATGTACCTTTTCCACTACTTCATTTGTGCTTGACGGCCACATGCACCATCAACCATGATCAATCTGTCAGCCTTGGCACCAAGCAGGCTCTTTCATTCAGCAAACAATGGACGCCCACATTAAACCGACCAAGCCAACCGAAAAAGCATCCCTCTTTTGAGGCCTAACTGCGAACGTCCGATCAACTGACACAGTGACAGGTGAAACTCCTTCTCCCAATCGATTGCCTTTCAATCCCTCCACTTGTGATGTCTACTTACTACTTCTCCTAGGTTGGAGGCCATCGCTACTAGGTTGGAGGCCATCGCTATTTTCTAGAGTGCGCCTCCTCACTGTCTCCTCTTCTGCCGTCTTCTACCGTCTTAGACTTCCCTCACCATCTCCTCTTCTGTGTGTGTGACAGGTTGCGCTTGCAACTTGCTCTCCAAGTTGCTCATCCCATGCAGCGCAGGATGATCCATAGCCAGCTCCATAGGTGCTGGTTACGGCTGTGGGGATGGATGGATTGGTGCCTCAGTGTCAGTCTTCGCCAAAAGCCAAAACAAAACAGTAGTGCTTGATACATCCCGCACATCATCAATCATCCAGGTTGTGCAAACCAACATGTGTCCTCGCCGACATTTGATGCACCGCATATCAACAGTAACAGGGATGAGCACAAGAGACACCAAACGGAAACAGGAGCCCATTATTCTTGTGGTGAAGTGAGGGCAAGTTTGTACGGGGAAAGTGTGCAAAGGATGAGGTGATGCTGATGCTTACAATGTATATGAATATGATGTATGCAAAGTTTCATGAGGTGTAGTGTGTTTATGTGAGAGACTCTACCTGCATTGAATCCGACAGCTCTTGTCAATGTCCTGAAGGAATTATCAATACTGGCATATACGATAGTGATAGTGCTAGTAGTAGTAGTAGTAGTCGTCGTCGTCGTCGTCGTAGTCGTCGTAGTCGTCGTAGTAGTGGTAGTAGTGGTGGTAGTGGTGGTAGTGGTGGTAGTGGTAGTAGCGGTAGTAGCGGTCGTAGCGGTCGTAGTCGTAGTCGTAGTCGTAGTCCTAGTCCTAGTCGTAGTCGTAGTCGTAGTCGTAGTTGTAGTCGTAGTCGTAGTAGTCGTAGTAGTAGTAGTAGTAGTAGATAGTAGTAGATAGTAGTAGTATATAATGATTCCTGGTGAGGTTTCAGTCTGAATTAGCTCAAAAGTCCGCTAGTGTCATGCATGTACAAATAGCAAAAGCATCCAAGAATATGTTGACAAAACTATGTGAAAAGATTGGGCAAACGGAAACAACAAAAACAAATGCACACAGCTGCTAGCCACGTTGCACTGGCAAGCCGAGGGCACACTGCTGCTTACCGCTTGAAGGGTAACTGTAGTTTCTGGCACCTTGGCAAGAATTGAGGCGTGGCCACACAAGAAACGTAGGCAAGATTCCATATCTGCTTGGTGCAGTGCGAGAGCATTCAGATCCCAATACCTTCAACCTGTGTAATTGTCCCAACACCCGGTAAAAAAGAAGTGCAACCTCGATGCTACATTCAATCCGTTGGCATCTTCGATCTTGAACGTGATCGTCGTCGCTTGATCGCTGGCGCGGACGAAACTCACCTGGCGAAACGGCGGACGAAGCTCACATGGCTCTTTTGATGGAAGAAGCGACACGGCGACACCACATTGTGAGTGTGTCAATATGTATGTTAGAAAAAAAAAAATAATGAAAACCAGAAATACATACTCGTCTTGCCGGCATAGCTCTCAGGACTCTAAGGCTACTAGCTGAAACAAAAGGGCTGATGTAGACAAGCAGCAATGTGAGGCTTGTCCTTGCTCAGCCCCTGCAGTGGAGACACGACCCCGTCGGACCACCGGACCGATCGGTCCTCCGGCGCCGATTCGGTTTGGGGGGGAACGACGTCTGGGCGGCTGTGAAAAGGGAGTGTCTGGGCCAACCATCGGCAAACCATTGGAAACCAAGGAACGCTCATGTCAATGCCGACGTTGTACTCTGGCAAGGTCTCTGCGCCCGCTTTGAGGTTGGTGGGCTTGGGACAGACCACTGCCGCGAGGTCAACCATGTGCCACGTCTCACCAGTGGCAGCCACTAGAGGCACCAAAACATGGGTGAGGTGCCACCAAAACCTCAGCAGAGAACAATTTGCCAGAGCTGTTGCGTGGTCACAAGAGCTGTTGCCCAATTTGGTTCATGGTGGAAGATGACCACAAACCATAAACCAAATACGGAGTGACAACATGAAAACACGACAACATGTAAGATATCCACTTACGGATTGGGGCCCACGAACATGACAACATGCTCACTTGACCCGATCTTGGGCCTATTCGCCTCCAGCCAGGCTGCGCCATGGTCATCGTTGGTCTCCACAGCGAGGGCCAAAGGTTGGAACAGGCTGAGCCGAAATGAGCTGTGTTGGTTGGGACGTGCCGTGAAGTTTTGTGCTTTGAGAAGAACATTTTTTGTGTTTGGAAGCTCTCACAACGACTATCCTGAACAGTTAGAGATTTGGAAGTCTCAATGTCAATGCTTCCGACTGCATTTCACCTTCCAGGCATCTTATAGCACACCCCAACGTCAACATCTTCAACGCAACCAGTTTGAGAAGTGCTGGGACTTAACTGGAATTGTAATTCAGCTAAGTACAGTTTACAGTCTACAGTTCAGTCAAAAGAGCTTCAATTCACTGGTGGTGTATGGGGGAGTATCCCCACTCTCCAATATCGCCAAAATATTTATGGTCTCCTATGGCTAAACCAACGCTGGGGGCTTTCCCAAGCATTCGGTCTTTCTGAACCGAAAGTTAGAAACCACCATCTCACTTCCAAATGTCCGCGCAATATCTCACAGAAATTGGGATTGGTGATGAGTGAATGAAAAAAACATGGCTGCTCATTTTATGAGCTACAAAAAATGTATAGGTGTTGAAACTGTAAGATGTGTTGAGTGTGTAACAGCATGCATATAATATATATACATATATATATATATACATTATTTGTGGGGTCCAACCTCAAAGCAGTAAAATGTGCTGACCCTGCTCAAATACACAAACAAAGATTCTTCAAGATAAGAACGTACCCCGAAAGAAGCAACTATATATTTGAGCCCCGAAAGGAAGAACACAAAATAAAGTAACAAAGAAAAAAAAACAAGAAGAAAAAACAGGCAGGCAGGCCGGCAGGTGGGCAGGCGGGCAGGCAGGCCGCAAGCACGCAAGCAAGCGAGCGAGCAAGCGAGCAAGCAAGCAACATAGACAAAAACAAAAACCAAAAGAAGGGAAAGGAAAGGAAACGGAGAGAAGTTTTGAAAGGAAAAAGAAAGAAAACGGAATGGAAGAGAAATGTTTAAAGGAAAAAGAAAGAAAACGGAATGGAAATAAAAGAAAAGGATGAGAAAGAGAAAGGGAAAAAGAGAAAAGAGAGGGAGAGAGAACGTGAGCGGCTCATGTCAAAAGCGAAGTACCAACCAGCCAACCAACAAAACAAACACAACCAATGAACGCCGGAGTTTGCAGTCAACACCTGCACAACAATGTACTGTACTATTGCATGGTAGCGGAGCTCCGCAGTTGGCCAGCTCAAGTTTTAACTCGCATGGCACATGGTCCTACAGGGTTCATGAAAACGCATGAACGCATGAACAAGACTAACAGAGATCAAAGATCACCTGCACCATCAACCGAGGAACGAAATCGGATACAACTTGGAAACCTGAGGTCAAAACACAGCAGCATAAAATTGCAGTCATCGACATGAGCTAGGGTTGGATGTGCACAGATGCGTTTTCCAACAGGTTTGTTCTGCCTGGAGGTTTTGGCCAGCCACATCCAACAACTTTCAGGAATTCTCCAGCTGACTCTAGCTGGGAGTAGCTCCAGATGCGTGAAGAAGACTCAACACAACCAGCCCAAGTCAACCTGCAACCTTTCATGAATGAAACAACACTTTCACAACAACGCAAACACTCCGCAGTGACCACTCAAGCACAATGCACAACAAAATGCAAAACAACGGCGCTGGCAAGACTTTTTTCTTCCAGCACTCCACCATGGAGATCTGAGCAAAAAAGAAAAAATGTGATGAAACAAGCATGAGAAAGAAAGGAACGAACAAAAAAACAAAAAAAAAAAAATGTCAAAAAATGCTGCCCAGCTCACATCCACATCCCAGAACAAAGCGGCTACATTCGACCATGGCGTCCACTTTCTCGAAGATCAAGAATGCCTGCCAGCAACCTGTTCCCACTGGCGGCAACTGCCCGAAGTCACCTGCAAAGATCACACACATTGATGCCTGCAAACGGGCCAGAATGGTTTTCAAATCAGCAAGAATGACAATTACAATTGCTTGGATGCGTCAAAAAAATGTTTCCCGATGCCACTTTCAGCTTCTGTAAAAACATTGGGTTGCAAGCCACGGGTCTTGAATTTTCCCAAAACGAATCTTTTTTGAAACCTCAAAAAACTTCCAACGTCAAAAAGGTTTTTGAAACCCCGGAGAAAGAAAAATTGTCTTCACTGCTGTGATTTCTTCTTGTCTGCACTTGAATGGACAAACTCAGAATTTCTAGGCAGACTTCTGCTTCTGAAACAATGGTCGTGCAAAAATTTGAGGTGTCCACTGCACTCTCAGGCTGATTCGTTGCTGTTTGCACTTCAGATCTCGATGAACGGCGCCCTTCCAGAAATCGTGCAGGAAGAGGGAATGCCAAACGCCATTCTTGATCAGAGCTGAGTTCACTCTTCTCACCATTAACGAAATGGATCGATCTTCCCAGACAATGGCGTTGGCTTCTTCGGTGCTGGTAGAAGAATTTGAGTGGTGGAAAAAGGTGGAGTCCGTGGAAGGGAGGCTTCATGGGGCTTGGAGGCCAAAGGGGTGGCTTAAAGGGGGGGGCTTAAGGGGGGACTCAGGGGGCGGCTTGTGGGGGGGGCTTAAGGGGGGCTTATCGCTGGGCTGAAGTGCGAAAGCGCGGAAGAACCGCGCAGGCGAAGTTGGGCTCTTTTCTCGAAACTGAAAAAGGGCTGCGGTAGCTCAGGCTCAAGCCCAAAGGCTAGGGGCGGTCACCCGGCGGTGCTACCCGCTCGGGCAACCGTGTGCCTGCGCCCTGGTTTTTTTTTGCACGGGTAGGGGCGCTATGTGTGCCGAGAGGCACAAGTCACCGTGTCGAATTCGCAAGAGGACAGTGAGGATATGAGCCTGGCCAAAGAGAACAAAGGAACCAAACCAAACAAAAGCCCAAAACCCACCCCAACAAAACAACAAACCGCAAACAGAACAAAAGGGCCAGGCTCAAGTCCGTACGAGTCTAAAAGAGCAAAAGGTGCGGATCCGAGGACCAACACAGTGGTGAAACGGGGCGATGAATTCATTTCCAGCCGCTCTCAGTACCGGACGTTCAGGGCGAAACTGCATTCCGATGCAATCTGCGTTTAGGCAGGTATGTATTCCTCCAACGGTGCACTGCGTGTGTGTATGCCTGAGCAGACTGAAGGCGAGAGTGAGGTGCAAATTCGGTTCGGCTAGGTCCATGTAAAGCAAGGCACTGCACAACTTGTATCAAAGAATGCGTGCGCGCAATGGCCTAGGGAGTCTTATGGTGACACAAACCGTGGCAGTAGCACTTCACCCCTGCGGAGCAAAAATTCAGCATGCTCGTGTCTAGTCTCGTTACTAGCGCACTTGGGGTGTCGGCCGCAGGCTAGGGAGGATATACAAGGGGCGTGAGAGCCTCTCAGCTAACTGGAGCATGAGCTTTGGCCTAGCGAATGGTGGTGGGAGTACAGGATTGGTAACTGGCCTCAACTTGTGCTCTTACAATCATTCCACTTGGCTACACTTGATCTTGCACGTGCTGCAACTGCATCCAGGACATTGGAAAACGGAAGTCTCCGCAGCAACGTGCCAGACAAGCGGAGACACGTGAGGGTCAGTGCATCAGCAATCAGGAAACCGCCTCCCCCAGCGGGGGAGGCAGGAGCACGAGAGACCAGGAGCGCCAAAGAACGAAAAAGGCACTGAGCCAACCTGGTCTCCAGGGACCGTCCGTCTCAGACAGCTTACCTATGTGACCGTTGCACAGGGACAAAAAAGCAAGCGTGGTGTCGAGTTGTGCCCAAGGAGGTGCCGCATTGGCCCTGGGTCACTCTCCCTCAGTGTTTGAGTGCTTCAGAGTTCGGTCAGTCATGCAAGCCCCATGAACTAGGTGAAACACCAGGGTGAAACGTCGCTATTCCTAGTGCTGGTCTTCTGTACACTGTACCATCCCTGACCACCTCTTGGAAGGCAGCCAGGGGAGCTGGCTATCTACTCAGTGGCGCGGGCAGGGCCGGTAGGAGGGTCGGAAGCCGAAAGGCATAGACCTTCTGCAAATCTGCCCTTTGGCCTGTGGTACTATTGCCAGGTCATTACATGCTATTTACGAACGTGTCGTATCACTCAGAGTGGCCTCTGCACAACTGATCATGAATTCTTCCCACTCTTCTTTCCCTGCATCTGGCTTGGGAAGAGATCGAATCCACGACGGGAGTGTTAATTTGGCACACATTTCAAAGGTGTTGCGCTCTACATAGGTCCCCCTCCAAGTTCCTTTCTCGCCTTTCTTGCCCATCCGGACGAGTCTGCAGAGCTGTGTACAGTCAGCAAAAGCTCGCTTGTGGAGTGTGGAGGACTTCTAATGAGCTACACTTCCTGAAGGCTTCTCTGCCAATGCGCCTCAGCGTGTGAGACAATTTGATGCACTGCAGTTGGCTGCAGCCTGCAAAGGCGCTTCCTACGATTTCCTGAATGCCGGTGCGGGAGATGTCCACTGTCTGCAATCTTATACAGTGCTCAAAAGCTGCTGGCCCGATCCAGCAGAAGTCATTCGTTTCCAGCCCTGCCCCTGGGAAGCAGCCTTGCGGGTCTCGTGGGTTATATTCAGTCCTGTGTGGGTTATATTCAGTCCTGTCCAGACCAATTGTTCGCAAGGTGCGACATTTCTCAAATGGTCGGACATTGAGCCTCGCATGCGGTGCTAATTGATTGCTTCTTTGGTCCCGTCTCCAACCCAGCTCAACGCATGGCACTCCTCGAAAGCCCAGCAGCCGAAGTCGATGCACTTCGGGGCAGTGACTGTGTGGAGCACATTTCAGCATCGAAAAGGCTCCCTCTTTCAAGCATTGTAGTGCACTGGGCAAGTGCACTGTGAGAAGCCTGGTGTGCTGCTTCGATTCGCAGGTGCCTTCCTGCCCTGATCGGGTGACAGGCACTCGGACTACTTTTGCATTCTTCCGCGTCTGGCCTTTGTGCTCTGCGCACTGACAGCATTGGCAAACGACAATCTGAAACTGCATCTCCTGGAGAATGAA